TTTACGACATTTTCCGGTGGTCATGACATTTTTTATAGTAAAAAAACCACTCAAAAGTGTCTTCATAAAAATTTATGTTTTTAGAGATTTACCCCGGAATATCTCGGCTCCCGCACGAGATATTGTTATAATTGTTTCAGTTCTATAATGCCAAATAGTAAGCGCTTCTAACTATGCCTATTACATCGAAAACATGATATAACTACATTATCATAATTGCCATCAAAGTCGATAAATCGATTATTGAGAAGCGTAAACTTCACTCTGCGAGAAACTTTTTTATTATTTGAGGAATCTCTATACATGTATCATACGAATTGTAGCTGATAGTCACCAAAAGTTTTTGGTGAAAGAATTTTAGTGATAGGTCTTACCGTTTACGAGTAAATGATATTTCTATATGCAGCTCGTGCGCGCCCGCGGTCCGCCTAACAGCGACTTGCTTGGCTGCTATCTGCGCCGGCCGGATAGCCGGCTTGTCACCTGTAGTGGAGCGAAATCATGCCAAAAACTATAATGTAGGCATGAAGATGAAGGCTTCAGGACGATTTTGGGTAAAATTTAATACAAAACTTGCCAGTAAAATGACATTACTTGACTCAGTAATGTGACATTTTCCTGACTTTTATGTAAATAACTATTAACATGATTTTGAATTTTTGTTTAATTAAAAAAAGACTTGCCGCTTGTATCTATTATGTATTATACAAAGAGATTCTTGTAAGAGCATGCATACGTAAAATTTCTTCATGAATCCTTTTAAATTGAGTACATCAAACCAATTGGAATTTTGGATCGAATTTGCAAGAAATAGCATCTACTTCTGAACTCATTCAAAAAACAAATTTGGAAATTTGGTACTTTTTATTATAATTTCTGAAAAAGGGATAATAAATAAAACTATTTAACAGAATAACAACAATATGTGGGAAGAAGTCGAACAGTAAAGGTATATGTAGGTATGTGCGTGAATGGCTTTTCGCTAAACGTCGTCTAGTATAAAAACAGTCGCAGGTGGCCGCCCACTGCAAACTTACGTCTCTTTCTTCGCATGGGCTAGATAGAGATGAAAGTAGCCACAGGCGACCAGTGTTGCAGTGGGCGGCTACCTGCGATGATTGACCTAATTGTTTTTATACTAGAAGACCAGGAATTATGGCGCAAAGTAAGAAAATTCACGCGGTAGTTGGACCAAATTCACTGTTCGTTTGCTTTAATAGTCCATAACCACCAAGATGTATGTTTCCAAAAGCTGTACGTATCTGGCAATGGGCCTGCGATATGCATGCTATTCTTTCAAATCGACACCCACGGGCCACGTTATATTGCCTCACTGGTGCTGTTCACTTTGCAACCGGTCCATTTCTTGTGGCACAAAATGCACAATTTTTGCATCACTCCTTTACATTTTGTTTGCAATATATCCAGTAGAATCGCTACCACACATTATCACCAGGATTTCCGTCACTCCGTGAGGTCCTCCCGATATACCATCGTGCAACTGTCGTGGTATTTCATATTTTGTGCTCTCACTAACTGTTTTCGTAGTTCAATTCAGCTTTCATTTTATTTTCTGCTGTATGTGATCCTGATGCATACCTCTTTCTCCTTGTTGACCTCCTTTGATTTTAGATTCCATAATAATCTGCAGGCCGGATTTCATTTCTTGTAATAATTGCAGCAGTTGTTCCATTTTCCGTGGATTCGGTCACTACTGGTATAATTGGTCATTTAAACACACCGGAGACTTGAAACCTGTATAACGTAAATTTAATTGCGTGATTTATTTATATAAAATTAATTATGATATAGGTATGATTATATATGAATACCTAATTGAAAATATACGAATAGATTGTAATCAAGTATATATTGGGTGCAATCGACACCGAAGGGAGGTTTCTTGAAGGACCACACCGATTCATAGTAGGTAGTAACCTACTGATCCATTGTAAAACTATAGGTCTTAATTATCGAAAACGAGCAATAGCAATATGGAAATAAATTGATTCTACTTTTTTCACAACAGCGGTCGGTGTACTTCAATACGTCAATATAATGTTCTACACTAACTATGTACTTCATTTGGTTTGCCATTCAAAGAATCCATTCTGATATCGTTTTGTGCAAAATTGAATTTCTATGACTTAATTCGCCTTTAACTATATAAGCCATTTTGTTATTTAACTTAACACTACCTAATTCAATTTTCCATTGATTTTAATTCTAAGTCTCTAGGATAGGTAACTTGAAAAGTTATTATGATTAATCTATAAACAAATGTAAAAAATGTATAGGTAGGTACAGTATATTGTATTCAATGAGACAATATACTGCAAAACTTATTGTATGAATATTGCATAATGTGTCATCCCCTTTTATATATTTACCTATATATAGGATTTTTTTCAATTTTTCATTTCGATGTAATATAACTAGAATCGAGAGGCTAATATAATATTGAATCCAATTTTATACGTACTTCAGATACGCAAATAGGCAGATCTATTTGATTTTCAACTGCGTCGAATTAGTTTTGCAGATAAATTTCATTTTAATTTGAAATTGAGAATGTAAAGTGAGCAACAAAAAATAATATTAAATTTATTTCCCTGGTACTTTTAAACAATGCCGGTTTGAAAGAGGCAAATATCTCGGTGTGGCAGCGAGACAAATATTGACAAAGGGATTCGAAGTGTGCCCACAAAGCAATATTACGTCGTCATAAATTGTTTATAGTCGAGTTGAAAGGCGAAATTACTTTGTATACCCTTTGTATTCTACACAAGAGTTCATTCTAGTTTGAGGATGCGAGTAAGCCATTGTAAAAAGTTTTCCTCTACAGATTCCGCATCTACAAAATACCACCACATTACTTTATATAAGTACTTATGAAACTACGTCTTTAGAAACCGTACGTAAATATTCATTCAATTGAAAAATAAACTCACGTAGCAGCCGTTTCGAGTAAAACGCGTTTATTTTTAATAGGTACCTACTTTTTCATCGGTATTTTATATTTTCAGCATGCGTTTGAGTGGGTGAAAAAAATAAAATGCATTTTTTGTGTTGTAGAATGTTAATTTAGTTCGGAATATTCTTTGTTCACAATTCTGACAAAGAATTAATGACAAAAACTACAACTTTGGAACAAATGTCTGTTCACTCAATTTTTTCAGATTATCTGTTAAATTCGGTATCTATAAGAATTAAGAAGCATGGCTCATAATTTATTTTATTTTCATTGTTCTTGTAACAAATAGGTATAGCGAACGAGCTCTTGGGTCACTGTCTCACTTACAATTTAATGAGGTCTTCCTTGGGTGATGATAAACATAATACTCAAAGCAGAATTGGAAAATTCGAAACCGTTCGCAAGTTACCGTGTACACAGACGGACATAGAGTCCAAAATCATGAGAGCTCGTTAATAAGTAGTTTGCATAACAAACGATGATGCGGTGAAAGAATTTTTCTTTTGAAAAATTTCCGGCTAAAGAAAACGATTGTGCACGGCTTTCAAAATTGTGGCCGGAGAATTGCAGTAATATACCTACCTAATTGGTTTCTAAAGTTTTAGCCATTCCATGAAAGATAAAGAATATCTTCAATACCACTATATAGTAAGACCAAATGTCCCAGTTCAATCTCCGTCGCAATTCTCGCAGAACTTCTGAGGTTGTATCCGATTTTCCTAAAGATGCCCATCCGGTTAATCGGTTACATAACGA